ACCAGACAATTCAGAGACATGCTGTAATGTCAGGACGCAGACCATGTAGCATATTCTCTATTATCAATCCTTTAAAGCTGCGGCCAAACTGGCAAAAAGTGCTTCGTCTTGGCGAACAGAAGCAAAGAGAATCCCAGATATGCTGTTTTGAGGGGAGCAGCTCGGGATAAATGGTAAGTAGCTAAGCCCTGGTTAGGACTGGTTTGGCCCTGCGGTGGAAACCATGCTGCTGGGAAGAATCCAGAAGACACAGTAGGACGCTGGCTTCAGTTGAGATGAAAACTGCTGGCAAGAAAGAGGGTGGCTATAAAATACAGATATGAAGATGTCTCCATGTCTCTGATGAGTCGTCCTTTTCAGACAGAAGCCAAGTGAGGTTTACAGCGACATATGCCATATGAACCCAAATGTGTGTACTTCCACTTAATATTGACATGTTTAGCATGATTTGTCACCTCCTTGTTCTGCTGCGGTTTGGGTTATTAGCTCTGTTATTGACAATTATGAATTTTAATGCTGATGTTATGGTACCTTTGAAAGTTTAGACCACTGGCGAAGGTTGAAAGGGAACTTTTGGCAGGCTAACAGACAGCAATAAAAAACTCTCGCTAATGATTTGTCCATCTGCCTAAAGAGGACATTCAAGGGTCAGTGCGTGCTCGCTCAGCTCTACTTTATTGCGCTGCCTCTTCTGCTGCGTACATGACTGGTGTGTTAGGAAAGACATGACCCCAGGAGGAAACAGGTCAGATACCAGACGTCCAATTAGAAGGTGGCAATTACAGGAACTGCAATGATTCACCTTTTATCACCATGATGAGGCTGTTTTACGGCACTGTCTCATCGCTTAGGAACACCATAACAAGCTTCTATTGCATTTTTTATGGTTTCAAAAAAAATCTGCTCTGGTTCAAAGATAGCACAGTAGAAATGTATCTGGTCAATATTTTTTATTTCTTGTTCTAGAGTAAGCGTTGGGTAGTTTCTCCCTAAGACAAATACTGAGTAGTGTCAAATACAGTGAGAGATCGAAGGACTGAAACTCACAACACAAGGAGACAAGAAAGTGTTTCAAGGGGACACTAAAGAGTGATAAACAAGACTGGGATAGGTTTGTTATCGCCATTTTTTGTGACGTGAAATTATCAGCTGTCCCTCGAAAAATTGGAAATTTTGTTTTTTTGGGATTATTTTAACATTTTATTCCCATGATTCAGATATTCTTAAAGATATAAGATGTTAACCTAGCATTAGCCTAATGCCAATCTGCCAAGTTATCAAGTAATCCGACAAATAAACTAAATTGATGTTACAAACATCAAACCATTTATCAGATTCCTTGTCGCACAGTTTGACTTTCAATAAACATAAAGGGTTGTTGAAGTCTCAGTCTGTCGGATGCCTTCTGCGATTGTTGTCTGATAAAGGTCCTCTTGGCGAAATCAAGGGTTATAGCGACCATGTACTGTATTTGTGGTTGCACCCCTGAGCGCAACTTCTCTCCAGTGTGGACAAAGATTTATATCGCCATAGCCACAGCAGAAACAAAACAGCTGCTCTCGGGGCCAAGTCTAGATGCACAGCCATGTGATCACATGCAGCAAAATCCAATCTGCAGAATCAGATCTCAAAAACAGCACAGGGAGAGAGAGGGATGCCAAGTGTAACCGTAACTCTTAATTATCCCTTTAGTTTGGAGGTCAGAATCTCACCAGGTTCCATTTGTCAAGATACACCATTAGCCAGAGGTTAGCTCGAGGTAGGCCGCTACAAGCTGAAATAACAGCCAGATACAGACAGACGGAGGTTACAAGAAGTGCAAATGACTGCAAACCGGGGTGAATACACACATGCATGCACACACACACTTAAAATAACTCCCGTCTGACTTAATCAAAAACTTAACACATGCTAGGATTCATTAGGGTTGAAATAACAGCCAAGAAACCAACAGTGTGACGTTGGACAGTGTTTGGAAGCAGCTCAAGTTGGCAGAGTGAGTGACAGCTATTAGATAGAAATGAAGATGTTTCTCTGTTTTTCTTCTCAGTCACTCGGAGAATCCAAGTGTTTTAAGAGCGCAGCCAAAGGTTACCAGATGCTGCAGAGATACAAGCTAACACAAAGCTAAGTTGAAGGGAAGGGGAGTGTGGCACAACTGGGTGGATTTCTCTCGTTAAACCTGGGGAGGGAGGCGGAGAAAGACCATTTGAGTACCCGTTTGGTTTTTCTGTGATTCAAGTCTGCAGCATTTAGACGAGATGCTTGTTGTAAGGACTTCTTTGTTTCACATATGCATCAGGAAAGAAGTAGAAGAAGTGGCAGGAGAAACTCCAACTTTGATCAGACAGAACGTCCCGAAGAAAAGGTGCAGGTTTGGTGGACATGAGTTTTGTAGATGAAAGGGACAAAGAGGGAAAGTTCAAGGCCTCGATCTCTTAAATCACACATCTGAATATGTAGTTAGACAAAAATATCCGAGGTAAGACGCAGTAAGTCACAGTCTTGGCGACATTGTGGCGCGTGAGTGAAGCGCACATTCCACTGGAGCTTAAGATGACAGGGACACGTTAAAGAAGAGCGGGGAAGCAGGGTTACGGTATCGTTACGGCTTCAATACTTCCAGCGTTAAGTTACAGGCGTACAGTACAAGCAGATGTCCCCCTCCCCTCGTTGTCTGTCTGTCTACTGAAGGGATTTTCTACCTGACTGTGGACGACAGCCAGAGGTTAACTGAGGCTGTAATAAAACACCACAGACACCTGTTTTACACTCGTCCAGCTCTTCTTCAATCTGCCAAGTTCATGTCTTTTTTTTCTTCCCTCCATCCGTCCTGTGACAGTCACCGTATCTACATGATGTTTTTTTTTAGTTTTTCTATCGAACTTGGGCGTTTGCTGATGCTGTTGCCATGGTTACTTGCAGTTTAATGCGCAGAGATTGCTGACACACACACACAGACACACACAAACACACACGCATTAAACTACAACAACTGAATTGTAGACAACTGACCACCGCTGGTATTCATCTTGCAAACAAACCATCTCAAGGTTATTTTCCATTACCTTGTCCTCCTTTTTCCACATCCTTCTTTTTCTGTCACACAGACACACACACACACACTTATCCTTTCAATAACTTACACACAAGATGCACTTTGTTGTTTAAACTTCTTTCCTTAAAAAAAACACACATGCACGCGTGATCCTCATAATCCTGACCTCACCTTCACTTTTAACTATGTACATGTGCAAACACAGACACACTAACACTTTTCAGCATCATGCACTTTCTGTTGTCTTGCACATAGTAGCTCTACAAACACACACACACACACACACACACACACATACGTACATGCCCGGGCGCACACAACACAACAGAGGGAAACCAGTGACTTCTGGCCAACCTCTGCACCACCAAGGTCAAGGAGAACACACACCACACACACGCTAAGTACAACACGAGTACATACACACCAAAAGGAACGCTGACAAACAACATGATTGTAATGATGATGATGTCTTTGTTCATGAACTCTACAGGACCTATGCCCGGCTACTTTTATCTGTAACACACTCACACACACACAAACCTGCAAATGCATAGTTTGTCTTTACACTCTCAGCCCCACAGATGTGGCTGGTTGTCTCCGTTTCACTGAGGTGACTTTCAGCCAACATCTGTACACGCATGCTTTTGGTCAGCTCCGCTATTCAGCTCTCTATTCATAGAAGACCACAAACTTATCACTCAGCACTGTGTTGTGTGTCTGTGCGTGTACATGTGCCTCAGCAAGAAACGCAAGATGTGTGTCCACCAAAGCGTTGGTGAATGTAGAGAGAGAGAAGGAATAGAGAGATTGTGTGTGTGGGTGTGTGTCAGTCTGTAATCACGATGTCAAACTAACCATCTGAACGTTAACAAATGTGCCACAGTGACACAAAGATCAGAGACACACATTCCTATGAGACATCGAATGCATCACAGTGACTATATATTACACTGTAAAGTGGCAGGCGCACACACACACACACACACAGACACACACACATAACCTGTGGTTTGAGGATCTCTGAAGTTCAACCTGTGAACTTGAACTGAACCTGCAGCTTTGACTCAGAAACTGAAACATTTCAGACCATTTGCATGATCTGACTTTTCTAAAGGAGAAAATTATCTAATAATTTCACTCCAGAAATAAGTTGTAAATAAAAGATTGGTGACACATCTCCACTTCCTGTGCAAAAACAAACCAGCATATCTTGTAACAGCCGAGTTTCACTGACGACAATGAAAATAACAATGAGGAGGATTCAGACCCAGACGATGTTCCTGCTGACCCACGCTCAGTCAATAAGAGACATGTTTGAGGAAGACAACTTTGAGAAAATCCTGGACAGAGTAAAAGAAACCAACTGAAATTTGGAAGAAAAAAAGGTTTCAAATATTTGTGTTGACCCACTGAAACTCCCTGACCTCCCCTCTTTGCAGACTTTGTGGCTCTACAACAACACGACGCTGCTTCCTCCTTTGCTACGGAGACGAGTCATAACTAAAACAGTCGCTGGAGGTTTTTGTCCCTCGAATGAAAACACGTGTCCTTCTGAGGTATTCACTGAAAAGACTGATTTGCGTTGTTTTTCTTGGACGAACGGTCCTTAGAACGTCCATAACATTCAAATCATTTCAGAATGCAAGTTATCAGAGAATGTCTGACACTGAGACTGTTACCTCATAAAACCCTGCAAGGATTCGCCAAACGCAACATAAGAGGAATTAGGGAGTGAATATTAGAACCTCCACCAGGGGAACTGTTAATTCAGAGATTCTATTCTTGTGGGTAGCATCGGAAATATCAGCTCTTATTCCATAAAGTTTCTATTTATATTAACACATTTTGCAGAATTTCCACAGTGGCACTTTTAAAAACTTAAAATAGAAACAGAAATTAAAAATAAACAGATTACAGACATGAGAAAAAGAGAAGGACAAACCTCAGGAGAGGAAGCTCGGCTCCTGTGGGTTTCAAGCTCATCTTCGTCAACGCCAGCATAACCCCGCTCGCCCTGCACAAAACAACAAAGGGAGGAAAGACGGATGAATGAATTTCAGCCTTCTCTTTAGAGTCAAAGCAAAGTGTTCTCACTCAGATTTACACGATGAGCTTCGATCATTTTTTGGACGTGGTTCTCGAGCTTTTTGGCTCAGATGAAATGGTTTTCAGTTCATGTGAGCTTGGCGCTCAAATGAATTAAATGACGACTGAAATCTGGAGCCTGGGAGGATCAGAGCAGAAGAGGGGCTATCAGGTGACAGCAGAGATTTACGCAGGTTTTTGTTTTGCGTCCTTACGAGCTCACGCTGCAACGTTTACGGCGGGAGAGGAATGACAAACAGCTGAGACGAATAAGGGCGATGGACGGGAGTCATTTAGGGGACACACAGGAGGATTAGGGTGTTGATTTACACCAGATCCATCCTGGAGATGAGAACAGAGATCTGATTAGAGGTTCAGGTCATTCGACTTTTATGCTGGAGTTCTTTCTTGCTCCGTGCTTCATCCTTTCACCGAGTTTTGTGAAAATCTATTTAGTAGGTTTTACATAATCCTGCTGCTTAACAAACAAACAAACCAACCAACCAACCAACGGACAATTTGGCAAAGTCAAGGGAAAGAATTTAATGGAACCTAAAATATTAAAAGGGCACCATTTCACTGACTATTAAAACACATTCAGGAGGGTTTCAGAGTTTTGTTGAGGAAATAAAACTACCACAGATGTAGACACACATTTATAATGATTATTATATCCAAAGTGTTATTTGCAGGGGGAAATATAAAATGTTCCAGAACGCCTGGTGGGATGTGTAACTGGGAGATTACAGGGTGGACCCTCACTTTGTGTTAGTGATGAGGTATTACAGTACATGCTACTGATGATTTTAGTGTGTGTGTGTGTGTGTGTGTGTGTGTGTGTAGGTGTTCGTCTGTTCCTGGAAGAGGTCAGCATCTTACAGAAATCATTCCAAGTCATTATAATTAAATAAGAGAACACACACACACACACACACACGATGAAGAATGGTTTAAAGAGCTCCACTTTACTGGAACAGTGGAGGAGGAGGTGTGGATGGATTGGAAAGAAGAAAATAAAGAATTCAACATATGTCAGATTGTAAAGGAAACATAAAGCTCACATAAACCTAAAGTCAAACAAGATCATAATTTCCCGCTTACAGTGCGGCTCCCCTTCGTAAACATCTTCAAACCCTCTGCCTGGGATCTAAAGCTCCAGCTCCGCCGCTGCAGCCTGTGCTTGTTGCTTCGCCAGAGCAGAGGATCTGATTCGGATATTTGGGGTGATTTAGGGCTTCGACAGTCGAGCAAAGACGTGGATGAACCTGAGAGCCTGTTACGAATTCAGGATTACCAACACGCACTCACTGTCACAGATGCTTAAATGAACTGGACGCAACGGACGTCCTGAGAAGAACTTAGTCTATTAAACTGTCGCGTTCTGAAAGTCACTAGACCTGATTTACAGCACAAATATAAAGTATCACATACTTCGCAGACGCAGGATACACGTGGCAGCCATGATGCTTCCCCCTATGGTTTGTCTATGGTCTGTATTTACGGCTTTACAGCGTTTTCTCTAACACGCATCACTCATCGACTGCCACACAGCTGAAATTTATGGTTCAGTATCTTGCCCAAGGACACTTTGCCTGAATGGGGGGGGTCGGTCAACCTTCTGGTTAGTGGCTGACCCGCACTGCGCCCTGAGCCGCAGCTGTCCCTGAACACAAACTTAAGCAGAACATTTATGAATAAAAAATAAATCTCGTGATTTTTTTTTTTTCTGTTCTCCTCTCCTGTGTAAACACACTCAGGTTGAAGGACGACAAAAAGTCTGGTGTTCAGAATGCTCGAACATCTCTGCACCGCTGCATTTACATCTTCTTCCTTGTCTCGCCAGTTTCTTTCTTTCTAAATCTCCAGCCCCTTCATTTTACTGTGTTATTCCTGTTCCTACTGTGTCACACAGTGTAAGTGATACAGATAGAGCGGCCGCAGCCTATGATAACAGGATTACTAGACAGCAGTGTTTAATTTGAGCTCAGGGCAAATAGAGGCCAAGTGTGTGTGTGTGTGTGTGTGTGTGTGTGTGTGTGTGTGTGTCCTTGTGCTTCTATGTTAGTGAGGACCAGTTTGAGGCATAGAACGTACAGAGTGAGGACATCGTGGCTGCTCCGCAACGTCTGACACCGTTTAAAGACTTTCAGGGTGAAGACGTGTTTTTTCAGGTTATGGTCAGAATCAGGTTTGGGTTGGGATCGGGCTTTTAGTTGTGATGGTTATCGTCAGGAAAATTGGGTCTGGACATTTCTGGAGTTTGTGTTTCTCGTGTGAAGAAGCAGCAGGAGATTGTTCAGGTTGTTCACAGCAAGGGGTGGAGCCTGTAGAGCAGCAGGAGGCTGGACATGACGGATGAATTCTGTCAGTGTTTTTGTTTACGGCTCATCCGCACCGCTATCGTCCATTTTCACGTCCGTCACGTGTCAGAAACCTCATCGACGCGTCCACTCGCTTGCTGTGAATGTTCCGGACACTGTCCTGCTGTATTCTCACTCTGACATTTTTTTACCAGGGGGCTGCAGGAAAAGTTCCAGAAAAAGTCCAGAGAAACTCGGACTTCTGCGTTCTCACATGCAGCCGCTTCTGGTAAACGTCAGGAAAATGTCCGAACCTCAGCGCAGGACTGAAAGCAGCTTATTATGTCAACGAGAGTCCTCACTAAGATAGAAGTATAAATTTGCGTGTGTGTTTCCTCTGTCTTTTTAGGTGGCCTCGATTCCAGTAAGTGCAGTGTCTGAATTGGCTTAGTACCATCATTTACCTCCACACACACACACACAGTGTAAGATGAGAAGACACCACCCCACATATTTGGATAATGCCTCCATATCTTTGACCAGTTCACTTATTTTTAGAAGGGATCACATCCAAAGAACATTTTTCTTTGGTTTAAGTCTCCATTTTCTTTTTCCCACTCACACTCACACACACACACACACAGAGAGACACACACAAACACACACACACAGATCGGCCACGCTGTCCAAGAAGAAGATGAGGAGAGAATTTTATCCTCCTGCTTCTGCCAAATACTTGAAGTCATGCAAACATAGTTGGTCCTCGAACACACAGACACACACACACACACACACACACAGACACACACACATACACACACACAGGTTCCTCTGTGCTGCGGTCGGGATTCTCAAATTAGCCGGTCAGCAGTCGGTCGTATCCAGGGGGGGTTGTCGGTTGGATTCCCGTAACTGAGGCCATTTAGTCCCATTTTATCTTTTCTTTTTTTTACTACTATCTACATTCTTCAAATAACCATGACTCTTCACATTCTTCCGCTCCCTTTGTTTCTGCCTCCACTTCCTATTTCACTGTTTATATTTGGTGTTTTTCCACACGGTATCGTATTTTCACCCAAAAACCCTGCGGGGGATCATTCAGCTTCATATTATCTAAGTATCCGTGATGTCTTCATTCCTTATTTACAATTAACTCACCGCGGACTTGTGGTTGGAGTCATTCAAGAATTTCTTGCTCTGGAAGAAGAAATCATTTCATTGACTGAATCCAAGTCACTGAAAGTCCATGATTTTTTATCCTCCCATGTATTAAAACATGTATTTTCATCACATGCTGTTTACTGAATTATGTATATTTACAATATGTATTGTTATTGTGTGTATTCTCCACTAAAACCTGCCTGTGATGCTTTTGATGTTTGTCTTTTTCTTCTCAGTCTGATATTTATTGGGACAATTTGTCTCAAACGTCTGAACGTCTCCTACCTCCGTCCTCTCTGCTCCTTTACTTCATCTATTTTGGTCCGAACTAAGCAGTTTTCCAGAGGTCGTATCACTGTGTGTGTGTGTGTGTGTGTGTGTGTGTGTGTGTGTGTGTGTGTGTGTGTGTGTGTGTGTGTGTGTGTGTGTNTGTGTGTGTGTGTGTGTGTGTGTGTGTGTGTGTGTGTGTGTGTGTGTGTGTGTGTGTGTGTGTGTGTGTGTGTGTTCATGGTTCTCTCAGAAAGTGATGACAAGGCCTCAGAACTCAGTGCTTTTATTTGAGGCCAGAATTTCTCTCTTTTACTTTTATTACTTCTTTTCTTTCTGTCTCCCTCCTCCTCCTCCCCCTTTTCTCCCTTCACTCTGATCCAACTTAACATTTGATTTTAAAAAAAAAAAAAAGCTTTATTGGCAAAACAATGATAAAACAATGATCTCCTTAAGGCTTCTCATGAGAAATCTGCTTTGAGAAGTATTGAAAAGTTTTTTTCAAAGTTTGCTTTGAGGGATATAAACATTTAAATAGACTTTGAATTTATGGACTGACAATTTAATTTTGTTTTGTAAATTATGTATAATAATAAATGAAACATCAGTAAATGGAAACAGACAAACTGCAGTCTGTCATATAAAAAGTGATTTGACTTTATGGCAGACGATTGAGAAGTCGAGCTACTTAAAGGGAAACTAAGAGAATAAACAATAAAGCTGCTATATTACAACAATGGAGTGACGTTCAGACTTTCTTTCACATAATATTTCGACGAGAAAAAAAGGCTGAATATTGTGAGAAAAAAGTCCGAATTTTAGAAAACACTCAAAATATTTCGAGAATTAAGTTGAAATATGCTGAGTAATGCGAGGCAGAACGAGGGAGATGGGGGGGGGAAAGAACGAGGGAGAGATGGAGCAGAAGACTGCAGCTGCTTCCTCTTCTTTTTTCTTCTTCTATTGTTTAATGCTGTCTCTATTTTCTGTGATTGATCCAGAAGTCCAAACTCTCCAAAAAAGTGTTTTCACTGCGAACAGAACCCCGGCTCAGTTTGATCCAGACCCAAACCACCTCTTTTTAATCGGTGGTCCAAGGCACTTTTTCACATCTGATATGTTGGTTCAGACTAAACTGAAAAATCAAAGTCTGAACCAGACGAGGCAGAAGTGAATATGTTCAAAATTCAAACTTTATCAA